TAAAGCTCTTTTATGACTTTACTATGTTTTATATTTGTAACCCAGGTGCACCTCAAAATGTGCATTCTCCCCCTTTAATTGGAGGGGATAAAGTAGTCAGGCAGGAGTGCTGTGAGAAGGGTCTGCTGTGCAGACCAGCCCCTCCTCTCCCCCCTGCCTTCTTATCCTCTGTAGAGTCAGGCCAGGATAGCTTAACTATTTACAGGTTTATTAATATACAGGTAACAATATTTACAGATTTAAAGTATTAGTAAATATATACAGTATAAATATCACTCAAATACCATTAAGCTCTACAAGCAAAGACCCAAGTAACCACCACCTCAAGGCGGCTTGGGTCCCTATGCAGGTAAGCAGCTGTCAGCAACCGGTAAGTAGAACAAAGGCAGATGAACACAGGTATCAACAGGTAAGTTTAGACAAGAACAACAACAATAAGTAAATACAGGCAAATATTAAATAGATGACATAACCTAAGTCATATTAAAGGATAACAATACATAAATAACTATTTACAAATATGAGGTGCAAGTCCTGCCCCCTTCCAGGTACCCACGTGGCCAGATCCACTGGGCATTCCCTATGGTGCCTAACCCTGGCACCTCTCCTAGGGGGAATAATGGGAGGGTTCAGGTACCTTCAACTATGAAACTAAGATTTTCTGAGCCCATTTGAGCCAGGCTGAATTGGTAAGTCCACCATATATTAGTAAATTGTTTAGTAAAAACCTGTGATGACTTTAGAAAGTCTCCCTCATGGCATCTAGCAACTTTTTGAGGGTTAGGTGGCAAATTTCTACTTGTCGCAAGTTGGCAGTACTGGTACAGTGCCCAGGTGAGTTGTAAACTCTGTGTGGAGTAAGGAAGGCTAAGAGAAAGCTCAGGCTCATCTTCTGCTGTTCAGCAGAGCTTCATGGGTTGTGCTGGATGGTGCTGGGAGGAGCTTAGGGATTTGTAATATGGATGGTCAGTGGCTTTGGGCTGACGGACAGGTTGTGGAGCATGTGTGCCAGCATAAACATACCTAAAGTAATCTGCTTGGATCCAGCTCTATGCCTTCTCTTCCCTTCAGAGAAGGAGTAAGGCATTGTGAGTATGCCTAGGAATAAATGGATTGAGAAGACCATAGGGGAAGCCTATTCAGTACAGAGTAACCATACACAGCTGTGTCCTAAAAAGCCCTGTTCCACCCCTTTACATACATGTATTTACACTCTAATGGAATTTCCTGGGTCTGCACTTCATTGGAGAGTGTATCTAAGGTTCCTACAGTTCTGCTGGATTATATTTTCTCCCATAAAGCATTACTCTGGCTAGGGCTCCTTTTTCATTATCTGGAAGACAGCTCAGTTCATGTTATGCATATTTTTAAGGATGTATTTTGCTTTTCAGAATCTGATTAGTCCTGAAAGCCAAACCATGGGTTAGCTGTTGGACAAGCATAATGGCTGCCCAGATCTGGAAGACATTGATCATAGATAGCTAAATTAGTAACACCAGAAGCTAGTTCATTATCTGGGCCCAGTTTTGGTGTGTTACAACAGGGGTTTTCAACCTTTTTTGGTCAGGATACCCCCGGCAACTGAGCGAGAAGCAGGGGGTCCCATGGTGGCTGGTCGGCAAGTGGAGGGGGATCCTCTGCGCGGCAGTGAAACTGGAAGTCCCGCCGGCTTCCCTGTGCCATTGCTGTGTACCCCCTGAGGCCTTCCAAAGTGCCCCCAGGGTACATGTACCCCTGGTTGAAAACCCCTGTATTACAATGCTACAATGTGTTCTATTCTAGCTTTAGGCCTTGACTCAAAAAAGCATCCTTATTCCTTAAGTGCATGTTCAAATATGGTCTTCGGTTGAGGCCATGTGGCAGTGTAAAAGAAATCAGAATCAGGTCTTTTGTGTAATGAGTTTGGTCATTTTTTTTCTTGCTTTTAGATTAATTACTGATGAAGGTGTGAGATGATTTAGGACAAGTAAAGAGATGGCAGACCATTTTAGCTAATCAGGTCAAGATTAGTGCAGTAATTATTAATTCTTCATGTCTACTGTCTGGATCAGAGTTGTCTTTTGATCAGCTACAGGCCTACCACTTTCACTTCATTTTCCTTGCTTTCTGCAACATAACAGTTATGGTTGTTGGGTTTTGACTCCCATCAGTAAGAAAGAAAACTTTGCAGTAACGCTATTTGAAAGATATTGGGACAGATTTGCTGGTACTCCTGTACCCACTATAGCCTGAGACAGTTTTTCTGCCCTTACTTGAATGGTGTGTTCTGCTATCTGAGCCACATCTCCTGAAACAGGATGACAAAGGCTTCCTTAGCGACTAGTAAACGGTGTTTTGTTAATGTACAATGAAGAGACCTAATTTTGCTGAAAGGCAAAAATAAGATAGTCTCTCCTTCAAGATTGTGTTAGAAGAGATTTTGGAACAAACACAGTGTTTCCGATAGTACTGTGATCTGAAAACCCCATTATCTATCTGATTATCCATGTTAAGGATAACAGAGAAACTTCCTTATGAGACTATTTAGGAGCCAGTTAATTCTTTTTGCCTCGTATTCTGGAGTTGCTCATATGTTGGGTCAAATTCTGCTTTGATTTACACACAGTGGGAGTGTCTACATGTGACCATATGGTGCCATTGTTACTGTACCATCATTACAGCCTGTACTGCGCTGTGCCAGCCACGCATGGTTATTTTTAACTGCTACATCACCATAGCAGTGCACTATAATAAGGGCGTGCATTGCTACGGAGATGCAGATGCGGCATCATGGTTTTTGCTCATCAAAGCTATGCCGCCGTAGCGCATTGCTATGGTGACAGTGTCATGTGTACACATGCCTAGTGTAGATTTCATTTATATCAATGGCTTTGACAGGATAAATCAGGGCATTTTGGGTAGGGTGAAACATTCAACCCCACTAACTGACCCTGGAGCTGAAGTCCCATTTTCAAAGATAGTTTAAATGCTTAAGGCCTGGATGCTCAAAGGCATTTACACATCCAATACCTATTGATTGTACAGGCTTCCAATACTTACTCATTTTCAGTGAAACTATGGCTTCTAAGGGCTAAACTTAAAAGGTGTGTTGGGGGAAGTGGCGGGGTTAGGCTCCTAAGAAGGCACGTATTGGGATTCACAAACCCAAGAGCTAGCTTTGTATACACAAACCATTGAGATGCCTAAGTTTTCCAGATGTCCAGAACCACCTAAATTCTGACAGTGATGAGCAGCTGTTTCCCTGCTTCACATCTAGAGCCAGCAGATGTGCTACAAATTAGTCTCACACTCACCTGGAGTGCTACTCCTATCTCTTCCCCTACGCAATCTGTTGCTCTGCTTTTTGCTTTTTGCTCCCTATCTTGTGAACCCTGCCTGATCTGATGTGCTCCCTGCCCTATCTGCCACTGTGCTGCTTGTCCCTTCCCCAATCTGCCATGTGACATTTGTGGCACCCATTCCACAGGTTGGCCACCCCTGGAATAGTGTCTTTTTGCTTACCAGAAAAGAGAGCAACATCTGTGAGTATATGCAACATTTGCAGGTTTGCCATCTCTGGACTAGGCGTTTCCTCACCTGTATCACCTGCAATGCCTGATCCAATGGGCATACTGGGAGCTTGTCTCTCCACAAAAGATGATCAGGTGGTGTGGGTGCCAGTGCACTTTTACTTAGTAGTTGATGCACCTAGTACTTTGTGAACCACTGGTGGTTTGCAAGGTCATGGAAAGTAGCATGCAGGCTGCAAGGAAGGGGGTCCATCCTCACTGGTCTTGTGTTCTTAACAATCTCTAGTCTCAAATGCCAGAACTCTATTCTTCAAAGCCAGGCCCTATTTAAGATGTGCCCCTGGAAATGTTCAAAATACAATGCCCCCCCAGGAATCTTCAGCATTTATCTTTGTAAGGGGGTCCCCTTTCCCCATTACTAAAGAGACAGATAGAACTGAGGAGGCTTCCCCTTTAAGGGCAGGAGAATGGCTACTTCTGGTTCCTCCCATTTTAGGAATATATAAGGAACAGGCTGGGCAAGCCACAGTAGTTGGCTTCAGGCCAACAAGGAGCAGGAGTTTCAGGGCTAGTGTTAGATAGCTTCCAAGTAGGTAGCTGTAGGTCAGGTCAACTGCAGATCAGCGAGCCAAATTGGCAACCTCATGCTGCTGAATAAAGCAATGACCCAGGTAGATGGGTCTGTCCAGTGGTAACTGTGTCTTGGGGGTACAACAGATATCTCCATATCACCCAAGGAAATGTTAGCACAGAGAGCATAGCTGGGAGGGTGTAACTGTACAGGTGGCCAGGTGAAGTGCCCAGTACAGAACTGTTGAGGTAATGCTGAAGGTTCAGGTAGGTCTCTCCAATTAGAGAAAGAGTTACAGAAGGCTTGAACTGTTAACTAGCCATTCCCTGCCCTATAGGGTAGGAAGGAGGAAGGCTGTGCTAAGTTGCCCAGAAAGGAATGAGAGATGTGAGGTACATAATTAATTCAAGTACCCAGTTCAATCTGCCCAGAGACTGACAGGTTAGCTGCATCCTTGAAAATCCATCCAGAGAGTTACAACATCAAGTTTTGGCAGGTGAGATAGATTTGCAAGTCCTGTTGCAGTCTTAAGAAACACCACCTTTGCCCCCTCAAAAAATGTGCTCCCTTCCTCATTTCAGCTCCTGGGCATACCATTTTGCTTCATCCAGATCTCCTAATGTCAACATTGGTGTAACATGCATGATGAGGTGTTATAAGCTGGGAGAGAGACAGAAAAGCAGAAAATAAATAATTTTCTTGAATTCCTTCCAAAGACGTATTCCACTGAGATTTGCCCTAACTGTACCAAAGCTCTCCTTCCTCCTGATACACAGGTGTTACCCCTCCCATATCCTTGCCTATTAACTTAAGCATTAACACCAAAATGAAAGTTTGGCTGTCTGGACCTTGCATGTGATAGCTCTTTAAAATTAATGTTTTTGAAACAAAACACAGCAGAGTTTTGGCTTTAGTTAGGCATCTGATCCAAGTACCCAGATCTTCTGAATACCCATCTGTGAAAGTGGATTTGCTGCACTTGTTGAGCTCAAGATAAAGTACCAAAATAAACTGGATGTAATGCCAGATGTGAGGTCATAACTTCCATCAAGTCAATGTGACTTTAATGCACTCTTTTTGCTGATGCAGCTACATCCATCTCCTCAATATTTCTCAATGAAAAGTAAGCGACAAATTTACAAACCTAGAACTTTCTTCTCATTGCTTTTCTAGTGTTTTCCTTTTAAAAGTTTGATGCCCAAGGTAGATTGTTGGCCATTGGTCTGCTGCAGGCTATTTTGGGTTGGGGCATTCTGTACTCCTCTTGGGGAAGCTGTTCTGCTTTGTGTAGCAGTAGTAAAGATTCACTGAACCAGGGAGAAAAAGCACAAGGTTGTATGCAAGTCTCTGTGCACATTCGCTGTGTGTGACCTGGGGAATAGAAGGGAAGCTCTGGGTTCTAGCCCTGGTCCAACAAGTTACGCAAGTATTTAAGGTATTCATTAGTGCAGATGCTGGAACCCCTAGCGTAAGTGCCCTAACCACTAGACTAGCAACACATGCTTGCATGTAATTGCTTTTCTCCCTTCTCCTCTGGTCTGCATGCCATCTCAGGTAGCCCCAGCATGTGTGTAACAATGGCAGGGTCTGGAGCAATGTAGGTAGATGGATAAGATGAGAACACATGTGGTCAAATGCACTTATCCAGAATCTGGAGAAAGGATTCTGCCAAGGGTTGCATATGGCCTGAATGTGTCCTCTGGAGTGAAAGAATGACTCTGGCCTCAAAGGGAATCCATTAGATATGGCCCTTTGAACAAGATGGCAGTTTTGAGTGCTCCATAGTCCTTGTGTGTGAGAGAGTAGCTGTGGGGGTGAGAGGGTGCCCTTTGGAACCAGACTTCTGGATCCCCTCTCCCTTCCATGCCATGAGAGTAAGCCCAGAGCAGAATCAGGCTGCAGTGTGAGCTGCATCAGCATGGTGCAGGCCCACTTATATCTGAAGAGTTGTCAGAACCATAGTCAAAGGAACGGCTTGTTCAAAGGGAACATCGATCCTCTCTTGGCCTCAAAGCTGAGATTAAGTTCAGTGCCTGAATGTCATCCTTCTCCTGACTTACTTTACACCTGCCTTCTGGAGAGTGTTTTACCTGCCTGGTTATACCACGGGAAGGATAGCAGTGGCTTGGCTTGCCAGTAGTGATCCAGCACAGCTCCTGATCCACCACTGCAGTGCTGCTCTGAGCATGGAAGACAAGCTAGCAAGGCTGCTGGGCTAGGGACAGACATTCAAAAAGCCTGAATTGATTCAATCTTTGCAGATTAGTCTAACCTGGCTAGGCTGAATCACTTTGTAACTGTACTGACATCCCGGAAATACAGGCACATGCTTTCAGGGGCTCAGGCTAGAAGCTGGGGGGCACTAGAGCAGCCCTCCCTTCCACACTGCTGAGCTGAGTGGGGTGTGGCCAGGCCCACTCCAGCATGTGGTCTGCTAGCTAATGCTGAGGTGTCTATGTAACACAGAGGGGATGGGGATCCTGGCTTAGCAGGAAGTGGGGAGGGGAGGGGGAAAGCAGGAGGAAACCAGGTAGATGTTGCTGTGCCTGCAAGTCTCTGCCGGAGCTGCAACCAGGGAGCAGATGGGAGGGGCCAGCCCTGCTGTGGAGCAGAGAGCCCCATCCAGCCCAGAGAGCATCCCGGGATGCTGGGGGAATCTGATTTATCTTAAACCAGGAAGGGGTCTGGGACAGACATTGTATAAACTGGTTTGACCCAAATCAGTTAAATCTGATACTATTTTCAACCAGGTTTATCTCAAACCAGTTTCAGCCACTTTCAAACCAGTTTATGTGCACTGAACATCTGTTCTGTTACAGGTTTAAACTAGTTTCTGATCACTTAAACTCGTTTATGTGCAGTGTCTGTCCCTAGCCCTGGTGACCTAGCAATCCAGTGAGGTGGAGGTCTGGAAATGGAAATCTGGGGGTGGAAATCTGGAAGTGGAGATCTAGTGGGGGGTGTCCAACTGCATCCAGGGAAAATGAACCAATGCAGTGGAATCTTGCTAAGATGATTTCAAATACCCTGCCAGGCTAAGAACTGTGTAGGACAATTATTTGGTGAATAATTTCAATAAAAGATATAGTCAAAAAAGCCATAAGCTGCTTCTGAGAAATTCATGGGCAGAAAAGAAGCAAACTCTATTGAATAAATCATTCTCTGCAGATTATTCACTCATATCTAAATATAACTCAGCTCTCTCGGCAAAGCTCCCTTTCTGTAATACACAGCACTAATTACTGTACTTTTTTATAATATGTATGTCATGCCTTGGTGTCATCAGCTCCACACAAAACAAAGATTACACACATCGCCCCTCCGAATGCCTAATCACGTAAAGGTGGCCAGCGAGTCAGTCATAGGCGAGCAGCTCAAAAGCGGGAGGGCATGATAATTACTGCTGACGAGAAGGCGGATTGCTTGAAGATGCTAGGTTCAGGGGGGCTCTGGAAGAAGGGATCGAACTGTTGAATGCAGGCAGGCTGTTCCAGCATTAGGGGAGGCATACAGGCAGGGAGCAGGTGAGGCAGCCATGTGAGCCAGAGCGGAGGGAAATCATAGTGGAGAGAGTAAAAGCAGGAGTTAGGTAAGGGAGAGTCTGTTGAGTGGGAGTGGGAAGTGGTGAAGGGCAGGAGCCCAGCTGAGATTTTTGGGAAGCAGGGGGAAGAACCCCAGCAGCTGCACTTTGGCCAGGCTGGACAGATGCCAAGGTGGTGAGCCCAGGGAGGCTGCGACAATGAGGCCTGGCAAGGACCTGCTGCCAAAAAAAGCTATTGCAGTCCATGCCAGTCTGGTCTGTGAGGAGAAAGGCAGCCCACATTCAGCAGGTTCCACATCATCTGGGGCAGGGATGCTGCACAGGTATAACAAGGCAGCCTGGGGGCAGCAGGATACATGATTTCTGGCTACATCATGGCAGCCAGAAATCACTACATCAGTGATTTCTGGCTGCCATGATGTAGCCAGTGCAATTATATGGCTGTGGTGGCAGTTACAGTATTTCCACACCCCTTCCCTCTCTTCCCTGCCACAAGTGGCACCTAGGGCTGCTGCCCCTATTACCCTACCAAGCAATGCTGCTGTTGCAGAGGGTGCACTCAAGGTGCTTGGGTTCTTCATGCTCTTAGTCTGGCCATTCAGGTGCAGTGTTATTGTTTCCCTTCAGGTTGGGCCAGCTTGTTTCCTCCTGAGTACAGGCTGCAATATGCTCCCCTGGCCTGCCTGTCTGCAGGGAGTATTCCTCTTAGGGAACTGTGGCAGCACGCCCTTAGGGGTGCTGTGATCTCCCCTAGTGCCCCCTGGCTACCATTTCTAGCCGGTGTCAAAATGCACCCTCACCAATCTCACCTGCCACGTCTTTGATCTTTTAAGTGTTTAGGGGAGGCTGCCTTTTCTTTCTGCGCTGACACGGTGCCTGCGTTGCTATGCCAGGCCTGGTCCAGTTGCCTGCCAAAGTTCCTTCCGTAGAGGCTCTCCTCAATACCCGCGCCCCCTCTCTCCTGCGACCTGTTCCTCAGTACGTGTGCCCCCTCTTTCCTGGGGTCTGCTTCTCAATGCGTGCCCCCTCTCCCAGGGCCTGCTCCTCTGCGCTCCTTGCCCTCACCGGGTTTCTAACTGGGCTCGCCCCCTTTCAGAGCTTCCCCCTTCCAGACAGCACCGCACTGGGGCCTACCTCTCATATGTCTCGCGGTCACCCGCACTCGGGCCCGCGCCCCATGATCCTCGCCCGACTCGGGCCACCACTCGCGCTTCCCACACTCCTCGCGTTTTGCACAATCGGGACTCAGGCAGCCTCAGCCTTACCTGGCCCTAGACCCCTTGCAGGGTTATACACCCGACTCAGGCCTTGCTTGCACTTCTCGCGCCTTGCCTGCGCTCAGGCCTAGTCTCGCGCTTCCTGCGCGCCCTTGCCCGCGCTCAGGCCTAGTCTTGCGTTCCTCACGCTTGGGCTCAGGTGGCCTCAGCCTTACCTGGCCCCAGACCACTTCTAGGGTCGTATGCCTGACCCGGGCTTCTCACAGTTGGGCTCAGGTGGCCTTAGCCTTACCTGGCCCCCAGACCCGCCTTCTCGCGCCCTCGGCCGCTGGGCCTACTCGCGCTTCTCGCGCCCTCTGTCTCACACTTCTCGCGCCCTCGCCCTTCTCTGGGGCTCGTCCTGTGCTTCTCGCGCCAGCGCCACCGGCGCCAAACAGCCATGCCTCCTAGGCACTGCTCTGTGCCCGAACAGGGCACCCAGGAACCCCCAGACTACTGGGGAGCTCCCGTGAGGCCTCCTCACACCCCTGCAGCCTCACCCGGTCCTCCAACCTTAACAGTAATTAAACTCCAAAAACCCAACTTCCAAGCACAATGGAAAACTCCCCCTCCGGGGTCCCAACATAAGTTCCAGGCAAACCTGGCTCCCTCACTCACAGATCTCCTTCTCTGGGTTCCCTCCACCCAGTACTGCCAAGCAGCCGCTCTCCAGCCAGCAGGCTTCTCTAAGGTACTGCTCAGCTCTGCTTTGCTGTGCTTTAGCAACACTCCTACTTCTGAGGCCACCAGAGGGGAACTGACCTCTAGCCTCAGCCTTCTCTGGTTATAAAGGCCAGGCCCTGCCCCCTGGTGGTCAGCTGACCCAAATAGTTAGTACAGCAACTCCCACCTGCTGCCCTAATGAGTGGAAGTTAAGCTCCTTTTACCATCATTCAGTAGCAGGCACCCTAGTGCCCTGCTACAGGAACATGATAGAACAAAGTTGTGTCACCTGCATTCATGGTCTCCTTAACCCCAAGTCTGGTCTAAGGTGCTGACTTTGAATTTAAGGCCGTGATTGAGTTAGGTCCTGTTTACCTCAGGGGCCACCTCTGTATGAGATTTGGTGGGAGCCAAGACCATGAGAATGTGTTGGAGTTACACTATCCTGGGAAGGTGCATGACACCAATACACATGTGGACTCCCAGCTTTCTCCTTTTCCCTTCTAGGGTCTGGACTCCTGTACTGCAGAGCTTATATCCCTTATTGGCTTGCCCGAACCTGAACCTGTGGACTCTTGAAACACCTAGTGAAGCCTGCCTGCCCTGCAGGAGGATGAGGAGGCAGAAGAAGGGAGAGGTGAGAGAGCCTAAGTTTGGGGGGAAAAGGATCTACTGGACCTTGGGACATACTGGATTGGGGCAGAAAATAATTAATGGTGCTGCTGCCCTATCATGGGGATCTTTGATCTGAGAAGGGATGTGGGCCATCCTAGGAGCAAAGGAAGTTCACTTCCTTTGAATCGCTTCATGGAAAACGGTGCACTGTTTCAGCCAGCTCTGGTCTTTGGTGATCAAGACTTTGAAGCAGAGACTTCTGAGAATGAGTTGGTACATTGCCAGCCCCTCTTGGTTTAGTCTAAGAAATCCTCCATGTTGTTTTTCTATGCAGCTTTTAAAAAGAAATGTGAGACTTACTTTATCCAGAATATTTGCAAGAACCAGAGACTGTTGCAAAAGCAAAAATCAAATCATGTTAATTTTCATTGTATTTCTCAATATGCAGATTTAAGTAGCCAGGAAGAGTAGGGTGAGACAGCCTTAGCAATATGCCCCCTTCAGGAGAGAGAAACAAGAGGATTGTGGCTGCTATCATTGGCACAAGGAACAAAATTTCAGGCCCCTTCTCATAAGGGCCAGATTCTGCCATTCTTCATGCTGAGCCATGCCAGCGTGTGAGCAGTTAGCTCTGAGTATTGGCTATATGAGGAGCAAACTCTAACCGGTTCTTTGCAAGGGAAGAGACAGAACTGGGCACAAATTCGTGCGGCTCCAGATTTAGGCTGGGGCGACTCTGATTTCAAGGGAGCAGCTCTAGTAAAGAATCAAATCCTGGATGTTTATGGGGAGGCCTAAAGTTTATCCTAACACAACTAGCAACTGTAAAACAGTGCTGAGAAATATGAGGTGGAAGACAGGCTTTCTGAGGATTTAAGAACAAAATTTCACAACAAGGGGAACAAACAAAGTTTTCCAGACATAAGTGTTGTGCAGGAATAAAGCATCCTGGCAGTGGCTTGCACTTGGCATTTGAAGCAGTAAAAACACTCATACTTCACAAAAATAGACTCTGGTATGGCCTTAAAAGCTTCCCAAGTATGCCTTTAAAGTGGCTTTTGTAACAGTTACTGTGTATTGCTATGAGCACAGTATCCATGTCTGAGTGCAGGATCATAGCCATTGTTCAGCCCTGACTTTGTGCTTGCCACACCAGTGGGACTGACTGGTGTACAGCAAAGGGGGTAGGAAAACAAAAGTGCTCCCTGACTGCAGCCTCATCTCCTCCTCTGCTAAGTCCCATCAATCAGTGTGCCTGTGCCTTACCACCCTATTCTTTCTTTCCCCAGTTACTCCAAGGAAGCTGCTTTTCTGTTGGAGTTTCTGCCAATAGCTGTGCTTACTTTGGTCTTCATCAGCACGATACTGGAGCACTGCACATTCACAGTGGACTTTATCTTCACAGCACCTAGGGGAGAAGGGCAAAACTATCCTGAGTTTGTAAAGCTGAGGCATAGGGTGGATTAAATGATTTACCCAAGTTCACATAGGGAGTCTGTGGTAGAGTCAGAAAGTAGCCACACATCATTTGATGCCTGCTTAAGTGCCTAGCCTCTGAAAGTACTGGCCAGACCTGGCCCATGCTATGTATTTATGTGGTTTCCATACCAGACCCCAGAATCTGAGGTTTCATTTTAATGTAGCATTTCTCTACCACCCCTGGCTACTGGGATGGCCTTCCAAATGTAGTGAAGTCTGCTTGACAGAGCAGGAGGCAAAACAGGTAGAACTTGTTCCACCCTTGAAAATGGCAAGCAATTAAACAGTTAATGTTGACAATGATGCATCAGTCAGATGAACAAAGGATGGATAAGGGAGGGGTGACAGATGGGAGTAGAACCTGGGCTCCTGGAAGTCACTGGGAGTGACTTGTATCCTGTAGTGAAGGAAGGTAATCCTGAGCAGGCAGGAATGGAGGGCTCAGAGCAGAGTCTGCCTGACAAAGCATGCAACTTCCTCCCTCTTGGCAGTATGCAAAATTAAGCAGTCAGGAACAGCAAGGTGAGACAGTCCTAGCAAAATGCCCCTTGTCCATGTTTCCTTTCAGAGTTAATGTGCCAAGTCTGTGGGTTTCATACCTCCGTTGGCAACCTTTAGAGCATCTCCTCTGTTCCTTGAGCCAAGAATTGAACCTTGCATTCCTGATACCCCTCATTTCACTGCTGCTGACAAGAATTGTGTAACCTAATGGCAAATTTTGCATTTGGCCATTAGAGATGTTGGTCTGTGTGGAGAATAATAAACTGTTTCTACTACCAGTCACCCCATTAATGCCAATGGAAGAAATCTGTTGTGGAGTCTGAAGGTCAAGCTATGCAAGAAAGCAATTGTATTTAAGCATGATGCAAGCAGAAGGGGTAGGCAGGAGTAAGATGACAGGGAGACTTAAAACTGTTTTCCCCCTAATATTTAGTGTTTGACCTTGCAACTTGATTTCTTTTAACAAAGTATTTTGTATTCAGCATATGATAACTATTTCAGGTTCTTCATAATAGCTGACGGGGATACCAACAGTGAACAGACTTTCTATTTCAAACATTGATTTTAGAAACGGAGTTGAGAGTGGTGTAAATATTGGATTTATGGTTTGTGTGTTGATTAATGGGACCTGTTCCTTTAGAAACAGAAAGGGGAATTTAATTATAAGGTACTTTTGCATGAGACTGAGAACTGCATGCAAGTTCTGTCCTAGGATCTCATGCTACTGCCACAAGTTATGAAAAATAAGCTGAAGCAGCCAGCCAAACATAATACCCTCCCCATGTGGACCTAATCTACATCAAAGCCATTTTCTGCAGCAGCTGTGCAGAGAGAAGAACCTTGCAGTAGGTGCTAAGTTAAAGAACATCAGAGTGAGGCACACTTGGCTCTCCATGCCGTGCATACACCTGCAAAAGGGAGCTGTTGTACTTTGGAGACTTGCTAAAGTTGGTGATTACCTGAGGAGTTCCCTTTGCCAGAGCAGTAAGCATTACATCCTTCCACTGCAGATCAATAGGAGATGTCAGACATACCACAGGATATTACTAGAGAAGGCATGTATTAGCCTTCTGCTCTTTGCAGGCACAGGAGAGTCTAAGGGATTCTTGTTCCACCTTTTCAATCAGCAGGGGGTCAATACTTGCCATTTTCAAGTGAGGGAGGAGATCACATGCTTTTTCAGACTGACTATGCTCTGAGCCCTCCATTCCTGCCTGCTCAGGATTACCTTCCGTCACCACAGGATACGAGTAACTCCAGTGACTGCCATGGTACTTACTCACATCCTGTGGTGGGGGAGCTGGGCTCCAGGAAAGTGCCAAGACCATCTCATTTAACTCTTTGGTGCCTGTGGTTCTGGCAAGTCTTCTGATGGAAATGAGCATTGCACTGGTAAACCATGAATACCTGGATGAAAAGAGCTGGATTTGACACTTTCCTGTGCTGCAACATTATGTTTATCAAAGAACAAGCTAGGGAAATGAAGGATTAGTCTTGGTCTGAATGGCTCTGATTAGTATTAGAATCACTACGCTTCAATCCCCATCTGTCTCTCAGAGGCCAATGAACACAGACAAAAGCCAAAACTAAGTTTGGTGTGCCAAGCAAGTCACCAATGAAACAGAAATCACACTGGTAGGAATTTGCTCATCCAGCAACATATCATAGAGACAAAAGGGAGGGACATGAGCAGAGATGGGGACAGGTGGGAAATGGAAAAGGGAACGAGAGAGAGGGGGAGAAAGGAAGAAGGTAATAATGGTCCAGAGTCCAGTAATAAAAAAGCTCAGGATAAAGAATTGAGGTATAGAAACCAAAACAGATACCCAGGAAACCAAAAATAAGAGAAGAGAAGCAGTGGGAGCAAGACTGAAGGGGACCCCCCTGTACCTGGTATTTTTCCAGGAATGGGTCCATACTATGTTGCCCATTGACTTAATGCCAGCATTGTCACTAGATGCTGTTGCTGGTCCTATGTGATATGCCTCTGGCCACAACTGCTGTGGAGCACAGGCAAAAAAGAATTCCATATAGTTTGCTTGGAACCTCTATGCGCTATTCGCCTTTCTAATGTCCGGTCAAGAGAAGACTGCACAGGTTCTGTCCTATGGCTTTACCACCTTTTTGCCTTGGTGCCAGGGGCGATGTGTAGGGAGTGCATGCAAGTGCAGGTGCACCCCCTGAGCGTGGTGGTGCACCCCCTGCAAAAAGGCACTGCCAACACTACCAGCGGCGCCTGTGGGCAGTTGCTGCTCGCCACCCCACCGCCACCCCACCGCTGACACTACCAGCTCTCCCCCACTTACCGCTGCCGCGCTTCTGCCACTCCCACTGCTGCCGCTGCGCTCCCACCACCGCCATGCCACCTCAGCCACTGGGGGCACGTGCCATTCATGCTTGGCATAGTATTACCCTGTGGCTGTCACCCTCCCTTCATGCAAAGGGAGCACTTTTATGCAGCCTGCACTCCTTTTGCTAGCACACAAATATGCCTCTTCCTTCACTAGGACCAAATATCCATGGGAAGATGGGCAAACATCAACTGTATCAAACTGTTTTGCCCCTGCTGTCACTTGTACCCAGTTCTGGCACCAGTGTTGCCTCTCTGCCAAGTGGTAGCAGATGTCTAAGGCAGCGGTTCCCAACCTCTGACAGACTGCGCACCACCCATTTAAAACAATACAACCTTAAGTACCACCAGCAAATTTTTGTCATATAAAGTAATTATAATAAATCTGTTAATGTGTACCACTGACAGGTTGTCTGCATACCACTGGTGGTACTCGTACCACGGATTGGGAACCACTAGTCTAGGGACTTGCAGATGGACTTTGCAGCTGTTTTTAAATCAGTGATGTGGAGTCTTGGACTGTTCTAACTCACTTTATTATATATGCAAGAGGCTCCTGGTATACAGAGCAGTCCCAACTTCCCAGAACCTTAGCCCCACATCAATGCTGGGTTGACAGGGACCAACCTGCCTCCAGAGTTTATGTGAATCAGAGACTCCTGCTGATCACACAGCTCCCACTCACTCTAAGTTGCCACTATGCAAGATCTTACCTGACTGAAAGCTAACACCACAGTATGTCTTCCCAAGACTGACAACTTGCTCACACATTAAGAAAAAGAAGTTGAAGGATTATGAGTAACAGTGCCACCTAGTGACACCTGCCATAATAGACAGATGAAATAAAACATCAAGGTGTTGGCAGGGAAGAAAGAGGAAAGACAACCAAACTTTTGATATGGCAGATGAAAGAAGAAACACACACACACACACACACACACACACTCTTCCAGGAGAATAGGACTGGAAGGGGCTTCTTGGTTAAATGAGGCCAGTCTCCTGCTATTACAAGCACCCATGTTACACCCCCCTCATATGAACGGGCCAAGCCCTGTCTCAGACCCAGTTAGAAGTTTTGTTTTCACTACACCTACTGGAAGCTGTTCCAAGATCCTCTGTCCTCTGATAATTCAAAACCTTCCAATTTCCAGCCTATATTTAGGCATGTCCACTTCTTGAGCCAGCTTTCTCTCTTAGTTTAAATACTTTTTTCTCCTCCCTGGTGCTTGCTCCCCCGATGTATTTATAGACCACAATCACATCTCCTCTCTGCCGTCATCTTGCTAGGCTAAACAAACCAATCTTTTACTCTCTTCTCATATGGTGAGCTCTTCATCTCCCTGATTGTCCTAGTTTATAGATTTGTATTTATAGAAGTAGATTCCTTAAGGACTTTAACTCAGTTCCTTTCACGCAGCGCTTCTCCACCCTCACAATTCACTGAGCATTTCCTTTGCAAACTAACACCAATTAATTCCTCCTCATCAGCAGAAATCATCCCTTCTTCTGAATGTCACTGGGCATTTCATTTGCCTGCTGGGTCTGGTTTGGCTTTTGTGGGAGGAAACAAGTAGAACTCCAAATTTTAAATATTCTTTAGTAGAGGACAAAAAGGCTCCAGTTTTGACCAGACCCTCCCAGCAGCCAAGAAGCTAGTACCTTAGTTGTTATCCCTTGCAGTTTTATCCAGTAAAAGATTTCTGAACCACCACATCAGGGGAAGTCAACGTTATTAGCCTGAGTTTTTTTGTCCCTCCAAGAATGAGCTGAGCTGTGATCCAAAATACTAAGAAAGGCTTTGACATTTTTGACTAGGTATATTTCTCTCATTAGTTTTCTTTTTCAATTTAGTAAAAGTGCTAGTTGTTGAAGAAATAACTTGGAATTTAGCTCATAAAGAAGTTCTGGATCTAAGATTTAGTTAAGACAGCCTTCAAAATAGATATTGAGCTGCATTATTAGGAGGAGTTTAAATGGGGTGAAATTATGTTGAGATAATCCCAATTTATCTCTCTGTTTAAAATCATAAAATAAAAAAAATATATAAGGGGCTTGAAGAGATCTTTGGACATCATTTAGTCATGCCTTCCCCGACCCTGCCCCACGTGCACACGCAAAGCAGGAATATCGCTGTCTTAATGAACTA